GGATCCCCACCACACTCCCAGGCTTTATCACCCCTGCGCCACAAACCCTAAACCCTAAACCCTAAACCCTAAACCCTAAACCCTTAGCCCTAAACTCCAATGCAAAAATAGCTGAACCCTGAAGCACAAACCCTAAACCCTAAACCCTTAAGCCTGGAGGGTGGACCCTTAGCGCTGAAGGCTGAACCCTGGACGCTGATGCATAAACCCTAAACCCTAGAACCCAAACCCTTAACACCAAACCCTGCGCCACAAACCCTAAACCCTAAACCCTAAACCCTAGAACCTAAGCCCTGGAGGCTCAACAAAAGTAGCAGCAGCAGAAGTAGCAGCAGCAAAGGCAGCAGAAACAGCCGCAGCGGCGGCAGAAATAGAAGAAACAGCAGCAGCAGCAGCAGCAGCAGCAGCAGCAGAAGCAGAAGCAGCAGAACCGGGAACAGCATCACGAGCAGCAGAGGTTGCAGCAGCAGCAGCAGCAGCAGCAGCACTTCCACTGGTAAAAGTAACAACAGCAGCAGCAATGGTGCAGATAACTGCAGCAGCAAAGGAAGCAGCGGCGTCTTCAGCAGCAGCAGCACAGTTGACAGCAGCAGCAGCAACACCTTCATAGCAGCAGCAGCAGCAGCAGCACCTTCATACAAGCAGCAGCACTAGCAACAGCTGCAGCATCAGCAGCAGCACTTCGGTACCTGCAGCAGCAGCACGAAAACCTTGGTACCAGCAGCAGCAGCAGCAGCAGCAGCAGCAGCAGCAGCACGCCGGCACCATCAGCAGCAACATAACCGTAATATCCGCAGCAGCAGCAGCAGCAGCAGCAGCAGCAGCAGCAGCACCTGAAATAGGGTGTAGAATTTGCACTGTCTCCGTTTTGCCATTGGGGCCTTTTCTCTTTATGCTGCAGCTCAAGTTGCTGAAGGCGAGGTAGCAGCCTTGTGGGGCTGCAGCAGTTTGTTTGGCCTCTGCTGCTGCTGCTGCTGCTGCTGTTGCTGCTGCTGCTGCTGCTGCTGCTGCTGCGGCGCTGCTGCTGCCGTTGCTAGGCTCGGGCTGCATCTTCGGTGGAGGGAAGAAGCCGCGGTTCGTGGTCCAGCAGCAGCAGCTGCAGCAGACGCTGCTTCAGTAGCTGCTCCGCTGCTGCTGCTGCTGCTGCTGCTGCTGCTGCTCTAGTGCGTGTCGGGTCAGTTAGCGGTTTGGTGCTGCTGCTGCTGCTGGTGCCACGTCTGCTGCTGCAGTTGCTGCTGCAGTAAGTGCAGCAGCTGCTGCAATTTGACCGCGTCGTGGGAGCTTTGCCAATAGCGCAGCAGCAGCAGCAGCAGCAGCAGCAGCAGCAGCAGCAGCAGCAGCAGCAGCAGCTGGAGACCAGGAACAGCAGCAGCAGCGAGCGGCCTCAAGTGTAGAAGCAGCTCACTGTGAAATAAATTGAAAAAATAAATTAAAAATAAAATTAAAAATAAAAATAAAATAAAAGTTTTAAATTAGATGGACAAGCAGCAGCGCTGGGCCTCGGGAGTAGTCAATGCAAATCGACGCACTAGGGTTTAGGGTTTAGGGTTTAGGGTTTAGGGTTTAGGGTGTAGGGTTTGAAGATTGGCCCGTAGGCTGCACTTTTATTTGCATTTCAAGAGCCATACGAGCTAGTGAGGCAAAAAGAGCAGCAGCAGCTGCTGTTGCTGTTGCTGCTGCTGCTGCTGCTGCTGCTGCTGCAGCGGGGCCCCCGTGAGGGGCCCCCCAGCACTACCCACTGAAGCTAAAAGAACTGCAAACAAGTCATATGGAAATTTTCCCAGGATTATTTAGGGTTTAGGGTTTAGGGTTTAGGGTTTAGGGTTTAGGGTTTAGGGTTTAAGGACCAGACACACTCTTCAGTGTCTCGATGGTTCCTGAGGATTCACAGATGAGAAAGCCAGCAGCAGCAGCAGCAACAGCAGCAGCAGCAGCAGCAGATAACACAAGCTGCGGATTTGGGAGCATGAAGTGACTGCTGCAGCACTGCAGCAGCAGCACTGGCAGCAGCACCAGGAACAGCGGCAGCAGCAGCAGCAGCAGCAGCAGCTGTGTGGGGCCCCCTTCGGCCCGCTTAGCGGCATCAATGCAGCAGCAACTTCACCTGCTGCTGCTGCTGCTGCTGCTGCTGCTTGTGCTAATTGCTTCTGCAGCTAACTGCCTCCGTACCCAACAAAGGGGGGCCCCCATCGGCTACGGGGGGGCCCCTGGGGGCCCCCCTTCCCTTTTTCTGCGGCGGTATCCAACTTGCTGCAGCAGCAGCAGCAGCAGCAGCAGGGCTGGACAGCCGTTGCTGTCAGGAGGCGCAGCAGCAGCAGCAGCATTCAGTCCAGCTGCAGCTGCAGCAGCATGGCCCCGAGCAGCAGCAGCAGCTGTGGGCCAAGCCCCAACTAGCGCGTCCAGAGCAGCAGCAGCAGCAGCAGCAGCAGCAACAGAAGCAGCAGCAGCAGCAGCAGCAGCAGCAGCAGAGGAGAGGCTGCTGCGCAACATCGCCATTGTGGCTCATGTTGATCACGGCAAAACAACCCTTGTGGACGCGCTGCTGGCTTTTGCTGCTGAGCAGCAGCAGCAGCAGCAGCACAGGAAGCCGGTTAGTTCGCAGAGCCGCAGCAGCAGCAGCAGCAGCAGCAGCAGCAGCAGCAGCAGCAGCAGCAAAGGGAGGCGGAAGAAGCCGCTGCCAGCTCCACCAACAGAGGAGATTTATCACCAGTTACTATTCATAATTTTCTATTAATTCTTTTATTTATTTATTTATTATTTATTTATTTATTTATTTATTTATTTATTTACTTACTTACTTACTTTTTATCTCCAAATTATTTATCGGTTTGTCCGCATTCATTTACTTGTTTCTGAGGTGTACGTACACCAGGCGGTGCAGCAGCAGCTCGACAAGAGAAGAACTTGAGCGCGAAAGAGGCCTTTATTTATTTATTTATTTATTTATTTATTTATTTATTTATTTATTTATTTATTAAATTAGTATTTATTTTAAATATATTTGTTTATTTATTTATCAATTTGCAAATTAAAAGTGATTTATTTGCATTTATTTACTTGCTTCTGGGGTGTACGTACACCAGGCAATGGAGCGACAGCTCGACAGAGAAGAACTCGAGCGCGAAAGAGGAATCACCATTACAGCCAAAGTGGCTGCGCTGACTCTGCCGCTGCCCTTCCGCAGCAGCAGCAGCAGCAGCAGCAACAGCAGCAGCAGCAGCAGCAGCAGCAGCAGCAGCAGCAGCAGCAGCAGCAGCAGCAGCAGCAGGGTTGGCCGTATAAACATTATAGACACTCCGGGGCATTCGGATTTCGGGGGCGAAGTCGAGCGCGTGCTGCACCTCGCCGATGGCATTCTTCTTGTTGTTGATGCCAATGAGGTTTGCTGCTGCTGCTGCTGCTGTTGCTGCTGCTGCTGCTGCTGCTGCTGTTGCTGCTGCTGCTGCTGTTGC